TCCTTTGTAATTTTTGAGGGAATCTTTTCCTTAGGAATGAAATCCTTCATTCACTTACCCAGAAAAAAGCAGTTACAATTCATCCCTCATTGTTTAAACTCAAGGAAAGCCAAAGCCTCTCCTTGAAATCTTTAAACTGTTGGTGAGCAAGAATCCAATCTGCAATCATTTGGCAAATATCAGCAACCACGTTCCCTTTTACATGATATTTATCTTCAAATATGCATCTTTTTCTTCTTTATGATGCTTTGGCCAAACAAGGGGTGAAATAAATAGGATGATTTTTTTTTGGCTCAATTGTAATTTGTGATTGTGTAACTGATGTGTGTAGTAGAGGAATAGGTGATATAAGCCAATCTATTTTTGGTGATTCTTGGCTTCTTGTACATATTCACTCTTAATAAAGATTAGTAATTACAATAAAAACATTTGCATCTGTTTCTCTCTTTCTACACTTCAATAAAGAGGTATCAGGCCAAATTATCAGGCATAGAGTTTTCCGATACTATGATGCCCATATAGGGATATGGGGAATGGAGATATGACTCTTCATTTCTTAAAACCTGGACGCAGATATGAATACAATATCTCATATAATATGCTTATATCATGTGTTTATATGTAGTTTTGAAGCTAAGTGTCATTTCTCAAGATTTATATATTGCTAAATATAATCAAATTTCTAAATTGTACAGATTTTTAATAGAATGATTTCTTAAAGGTTATAACATACCATTTTACATATTTTAGAAGTGTTAACACCATAGAGTACATTCAGAAGTGTCCATAAGATATTTGTTCTAGATCTAGAATTCTAGCTTCATCTGTGGTGATAGAAGGCCCAAGGTCCCTCTGCACCTTCATTGAACCATCTAACAACCACCTTGGAGTTTCCCTCTACCCCTACTTTCTTGGTGTCTAGTGATACCATCAATTTAAGTACCTGGAATAAGGACCAAATTTCTTTCTCATTAAATTTTCTGAACTAATAAGCAAGGAGGGAGTGGGTGATTTTATCTCATCTACAATTCACAGAGTATATTATTTTATCTTTAAAGTTTAAACAGCATAAAACCTTGATGTTTGATAAAGTTAAGATTTTACTTTTAAGATGGATTGTAGCCAAATGCATAGAAATGGAAGGTGAAAAATGTCAAACCTGTTGATGAAAAGAGAGGGGAGGGGGTTATTAATAAATATACTGTTATGAAATGCAGAGCACTACCCAGTGGTTTGTACTAGACTTCTTTAGCTTTCAAAGGGTGTAAATTGGTTCTTAGTCTTGCTCTATAAAATATAAACAATTTAATAGAGGAAGTCAAATTTCCCCTTGAATCCTAAGTTCCTCATTTTTTTATCAGTAAACATGTATTTTATTTAAATTTCAGATTGTAAACAGTTTATACAACTTGGTGATGGGACTGTTGATCCCTTAAATCACTCTATTCTATCCCTCATTACAGTGCAGCCCAAAATAATTGTTGTCTCAATGCCCCCCTGTTTTGCTAAACAATCAGCTAGCCCATTTGCACTCCTTCGGACCCATTTAAATTCAGCCTCAACCTCCTTTGCAATCTTCTCCACTTCCCTAATCACATGTTTGTACGTCCACGAGGTATGGCTTCTGTTTGCTGCCCAGGAAATTACTACTTGAGAGTCCCCTTCTACCTCAACATGTTTGTATTCTAACTGTTTGGCTAGCTTTAGACCTTGTAATAATGCCAAAAGTTCAGCCTTCAATGAGTATCCGGTGCCAATCAGTCTTGAGAACATACCCAATATCCTCCTTTTAGAATTTTTGAATACTCCTACACCTGAAAGGTCTGGATTTCCAAAGGAGCTCCCATCAAAATTCAGTTTCACTTTATTGCCTTCTAGTGGTTTCCACTCCAGCCTTGCTTTATCTCTTACTCTCGATGATTGTACTACTTCAGACCAAGTTCTTAGAATGCCTGTGATTGAGAAGACTTGAAATCTATCCGAGGATTTTATCCAATGAGCTACTTTCACCTTGATGCTATCAATCACTCCCTCTACTGTTCTGCTTTTTTCCAAGAAAATCCTATTATTCCTCTCTTCCCATACTACCCAACAAATTGCTGCCTTTGTTGCTTTCCACATTACCATCCCTCTTTTCTTTCGTTGTCTCAAGAAGTCACGGTTGAAGAGTCCTGCCACATCTCGAGGGGGATCCCACTTGCAGCCAAAGAGAGTACAAAAGAATTTCCAAATTTGAAGCACAAAAGAAAAGGATATCATTAATGAGATAGGGTCTCACCACTTTCCTTACACAAAGAGCACATATGAGGAGAAAGGCAAATGCATGGCCTTCTTCTCTGCAACATATCACAAGTGTTTACCTTACCAAGGAATATTTCCTAGTAGAAGGCTTGAATCTTCGGGGGAATAGGCTTGCACCAAGTTTCTTTCACAGGGAAATCCCCACCTAGGGGGTTGGGGGAAGCAAGTACTCTGAAGAAAGAAGAACAAGAAAAGAGACCGTCTGGAGAGCCTACACAGATTCTAGAATCTTCCAACGAAGGGTCCAAGTGGATTTGCCCCAGAAGGTCCAGCAATAGGATTAAAGACTCACACTCATTTTCCCTTAGTCCCCTTTTGAAGCCCAAGTTCCAGTTCACACCATTTGGACACGGTGTTCCCAACATGGATATGACCTCCCCCTTGAGGTTTGATTGCGCAAAGAGATTAAGTGGGGTTTCCCCTACCCACAGATCTTCCCAAAACAGAATTTTATTACCTTGTCCCATATTGAACCGGATGGAATTGTGGAAAGTAGGGTAGATTTCGTGAATTGCTTTCCAAGGAGAAGCCAAAGAACCGAGAGGGGAAACTTTTGCATCTCAACCATTTCCATCCACCCCATGAATGCTCTCAATCACTTTGTGCTATAGTCTGTTGCTCTTAGGGGGTGTTCTTTTTTTTGGATTTTGAGAGGGGAGAAAGTTGGTCAATGTGATTTTGATTTCCATTGACCAAGAATCCCATGTTCTTTTTTTTTTTCAGATTAATGTGGGGACCAGGGAAAGTTTATTTTCCTGGGTATCACTTACTAGGTGGGTAAATAACTTTCCCACTTGGGGGGAGAGTTGCCAACACTTGAATGGGACAAAAACGCCCCTTTTAATAATGGATTTTTATGGCTAAAATGGTCATTGCCTTTTCTAGGGAAATAAAAGAACATGGGTAAATACACTTACTTGGATAAGTGTTTCCTAGGAAAAACTTACCTAGATAATTGCATTTACCCGAGTAAGTAACTTACTGAAAAGTGAACGGGGCCTCAAAGGGAAACCTCCAAAGCCACTTACCTAGTAGAGTTGTGTTCCTTATCAGGATGCTCCCAATTCCTAAACCCCCTTGTTCGTTAGGTTTGCTAACCTGCTCCCACTTGATCAAATGGTCCTTCCTTTCCTCTCCTGGATCCCGAAGGAAATCTCTCATATACTTCTCTAAGCACCTTGCTACTCTAGAAGGGATTCTAAAGGTTGAAAGTAAATAGGTGGGGGGGGGGCTTGCCAGTGTGGCTCTAATCAAGGTTATTCTTCCACCCAAAGAAATATAATTCCTCTTTCACAAGGCTAACTTCCTAAAACTGGTTTCCAAAACCCCACTAACCTAGGGTTTCCTCCTAAAAGTAGACCTAGGTAACTGATAGGCCAGCTTCTGATCTCACACCCCAAGATCTCAACAAATGTTATTAATTCTCCTTCCTCCATATTGACCCCCTACAATTCCACTTTTGGTCCAATTTATCCTCATCCCTGTCACTCCCACAAAACTATTCAGCAGCACCCTCAGATTTTCCACCACTTCCTCATTGTTTCCTTCACAGAAAAAGATGGTGTCATCTGCAAATTTGAGATGGGTAACAATCACCTGATTTCTACCTACCCTTCAACCTCTGATAAGGCATTGACCATCAGCTTTTGCCACCATTCTGCTTAACACTTCTGCCACTAGGGTAAATAGGAATGGGGATAGGGGGTCACCTTGCCTAATTCCTCTCCAAGCTGGGAAGAAGTCCTTTGCTACACCATTGATTAGGATTGAGTAATGAGCTGAACTTAAGCATCCTTTAATCCAAGATCTCCTTCTAACTCCAAAACCCAGTCTTTCTAGTATTTTTCGGAGGACTTCCCAATTAACCAGGTCATAGGTAATCAAAAATTCAAAATTGTGTAGAATGTATTGATTACTGATGGAGGCAGGAAATATCCATTGTATCAAATGGTTAAATGATGGCAATAGTTACCTAGATGCAGATTATGATTTTGTTTTACCTATAATTCTTTAAAAGGGGATTTGGTTTCCTTGTATTTTCAGTCAGTGTCAGCTGACAAGTCTTTCATCGGAGACTTTAGTAGGTTAGGTTCCTTGTGCTAAAATACTATTTCTGCAGTGGTTCAATTGTTGAAGGTGTTGGCTGGAGATGTTCTGGAAGCTAGAAATGTTTATATCTAAGTTGTCAATGACTTGAAGCAGTTACTCATGCAGGCAATCAATTTCAAGTTTTACATGTATTTCTTGAAATTTGGATAGCATCTATTTCTCTGTTTGTCTCTCCTTATTCCTAAAACCATTATTGAGTGAACTAAGGTTATTTCGTTTATGTCTTTAATTTAGTATGTACCTGCTTAGGCAACTGAATTAGATCTCCTTAAAGTTTTCAATATTGTGGTTCAGTTTCCTTTATTGCCTGAGCAAACAAAACATGTTTAAGTATTGATATTTATATTATAAGCATCAATTAAACAGGTAATTTTAGGTACTGATTTGGTTGTGATTTAATTGAGGATTGCTTGAAATTTTAGGTACTGTAAAAGCATGTACTAAAATGCTAAAAAGTTAAATGGTATTTTCACCTGCTCTTATTTCATTTGCAATGGGATGCATGACCCAAGTATATCATTACAAACTATTAAATTTAATCTTTGAAGTTTGAACTCAGATATTAAACTAGCCTGCCACCTTTTATGCAGGTTTGTCAGTTTGCAAATTGCTTGATTGAGGCTAGAAATGAATTAAAGCACAAGTATATATTCCAGATCTTCCTTCAAGCTGCTACTCGTCTTTCTTCACTATCTATCTTATCTGCAAATCTAAAAGGTTCCAGCCTCCTTTCTGGTTCCACAGGTCTGAGATCATCCAAAGGAAATTTACAATAACGAAGGCTCTACTATTCAAAGCAGATAGGTCTTCATTTGACCGCCTCTGTCAGCAGGTTGGTTATGCTGCTGGTATAGTGCTATATCTGGCTGCTAGAATGCTAGTATGAGGTGGACAGTGATTTCTTATACGTTCTTTAGTTACTTCTGGAAGAGGATTTAAGATATTAATATCTGCAGATGTACAAACTAGAAGCAGAACAAAAGAGGTTAGAGGAGGATGCACTTGTATATAATCGGCTCCAACAGCAGCTTAAACTCTCACCAGCATATAAGAAGGTATTACTTCTGCTTTCTTTATGTTTTTTTGGTGATCCATCCATGAGTTGTTGATCTTGGAGTTCAGTATCTAGGTTATAAAGATGGTTGGACTTCATTGACTTTATCTTGGTTTATTGGGTGTAAATACAAGCAAGTTATGCGGGCTAGTCATTTTGATTAGAGTCAGGGGGATGGCTCAGGTTCTTTCATTCCCTTAGTGTATGAAGGGTGAAGGTAGAAGGGGACCCAGAGGCCAGAGCACAATTATTGGATGGATGGGGGCTAGTATTGGTGGATTATGGTGATCATTGCTGAGAGGGGATTCTGACATGACATCCAATCTGAACATCTTCTTTCTTGTCTGCAATTATAATGGCTGACTCTTTAGCTTATTGTTGGCTGCAGGGATGTGTTGTATTTTCATATTATGGATCAGTTGTAAATATCAGCTCTTTCTCTTCATTAGTTCTGCTAGGTTCCGTTTCTCCTTTGCCATGTGATTCTTTATGCATGTTTTTTAGGGTGGGGGGGATTGATAGTTCTTGTAATTTCTTCTCTATTCTTGAATAAATATTTTTTCATTTTTAACAATAAAAAATGTTGTAGCACACTTGATTCAGTTTGTTAGTTTACTGACTTGTCCCAGTTTCTAGGGTGCAGATACAGGTGGGTTGTACAGATTACTATTATCCACTCTACTATTGAGTTTATTGAATGGAAAAAGCATGGGTCTGGGAACAGAGGACTTGTAAACAGTCTGGGGTCAGGACCATCAAGATTGACCATTCAATATCTCCCACCTTGAAGATTTACTGGGGCAAAAATCCGCTTAAAATCTTATAAAAATGTATTGGTAAAAAGTGTCATTTGAATGTTTTGAAAGTTCTGAAAATGATGTATGAATCAGATGGCCTAGAAACATCTGGTATCTGATATACTGATTTTTGGTATGTGATGATGGGTCTTGTTCTGAATGTCTGCATTGTGTAAGTTAAGAGCCCCAGATTGCAACCAGTGGTATTGTTTTACCAAATCTGATCACTTCCTTCTCAACTCAGAGAAAATTTTAGTGTACCACTGCATCATGTTAAAACCAAGTTTCCCTTGATACTGATCCTTCTGAATTCTCTCACTCTGTCTTCCTCTAAAGATGCTTGAAATTGGAGAGCGCATGGAACTGAAGGCTACTTCAAACCAGCTGGTAGAAAGCACAGATGCTGAATTTCCAGACATCTCATTTGAGGAGTTGCTAGCACAGGAAAAGAAAGATTCGTTTTGGTAGGTGAATGATGGTAATTGGTGAACATAAACCGTATTTCTTTGTTTTTTTCCTTTTCTTTGCCATTTCTCTCTCTCTCTCTCTCTTTCTCTCTCTTCTAAGTCCATATCTCACCAACCACATTTTCCCACATACAGGCAAAGGAATGGAAGGCTGAGATCATGCACAAGCTAATGGCTACGTATGCCGACTGCGACTCATCCTTGTTCAACCTAAGCAATACATGTATCTGAAACCCAAAGTTTTGCACGGATGTAGGAATTTTTGGATGCTTGTGTTCCTTCGGATAGCTTTTTCATGGGATCTATGCCTTAAATTAATTTCTTCAACTTTCCCACTGTAATGGCATCATTTTGGTTGTTGCTTATTGACATGCATGAAAACTAAGCCTCGGAGGAAAGCGGGCCACTCTCACTACTCCAATTCCAACATTATATGTTGCTTCCAGAAACTAGGCCTCTTTTGCTAACAATTTAGATTCATTTTTTGATTGGCTGAACTTAGGTCACCTGTTATGACAACCACAGAAGTGAACGGCTAGGCGCCTAGTTTCTTATGATTGAGTTGTAAAATAATGTTGAAAGAAATCTGGACAGTGTTAACTTCACCAACAATTCTAGAGGCAGAATTAACTTTAAGGACTGAAACCTGTCGAGTTTTGGGCTTTTCATTTGCTGGGTTCATTAGTGTACCCTTTTTAACTTGGAGTCATGATTGACCATTGACTTGATGTGCCATTCATCTATTCTTCTCTACTGGTTATGTTATCATGGACAATGAGGATTAAATGAAAATGATAAGAAGTTTTGAGTTGAACTATGGTTGATTCTATTGCTTTAAAGTTCTTTAGGCAAAAGGTAGTTTGGTTGGTCCATGGACCATGAGAGTGTCAATCATCGCCACTTTAGTGGCTGCTGGAAAGTGGAAACTAGTACAAAGCCCAAGTGGTCTGATGTTCAGATTCTTATTCACAGATTTCCAAATTTGCCTTAGCTCTATTCATTAGAGATTATTCCTTCATCGGAAATGTTGGATACTCATCCGTTCTGTAACAAAGTGAAATCGAAATCAATTGTCTTTTCTTGTTGAAAGCCTGTTTAAAGGACATGCTTGCACCATGGGTTTTGTAAGAAACAATGGCCAGCATCCTTGTAAAAGTCTGAACAATCATGCTTGCATCATGACTTTCTATGCATCAAGAGTTCTTTCAATTAATTTCTTATGCTCTCATATTTTCTGATGAGTGATGACTAACAAGGATATGGGTTGAGGCAGTGAAAAATGATTTAGGGTATGACACTTGATAGAATGGAATGGGGATCATGATTCATGTAACCAATACTGTATAGTTGGGACATGGTTTAAATGATGATGAAATGAAATTATGAGATTTGATGATAATGGACCTTTAGCAAGTTATAATTCTTAATTATTAGAAGAGCACTTGGGTGTAATGTGATAACTAACCACCCATTTTTCATATGTGGGAAGTAATGATTGGGGATGGGGATGGGGATTAAATCTAACTGGCCAGTAAAAGATGGGGAAAAGTGTATGTGTGTGTTTTGAGGGGGGACTCTCTAGTTGATTAAGTTGTTAAAAAGCGGTGGTGAATCAAAAATGGTTCACTTGATCTTAGGACTCCATACTCCATACTCCATTTCACTTGATCTTATCCAAAAACAAGTACAAGTATACAACAAAATAACTTCCCAAAAGTTCATCCATCCTGCATTCCGACTAGGCTACTACTACTATTATTGAAGAGGCAATAAGAGACGCATCTGTTTTTGTTCTTTCTTTTTTTTCCTTGGGACACGTGCATCTTACAACATGCTTCTGGAACCCACTTGCCACTTAGACTGGCTGACACAATGCTAGAGATGTGTGGTGTATTTGTATCTGGTACATGGGAATAAAACAAAGTACAGTGAAGTATCACTAATGTTCCTCTTCATGTATTGCAGACGATTTACCTATGAGGCTATGTTTGATTTGAAGGAAAAGGTAGGAAAAGGAAGGGAAAAAGTAGGAAAACTTATACAAATTTTGTAAAAGTTTCCTTATCTTTCATTTCCTTTTCCTACTTTTTCCTTCAAACCAAACACAGCCTCGAGTATTATATTACCATGCCACCTGGAAGGCTGGAATAAGGCATTTCAATGGAATTTATGTCAAGGAAAACATCCTCCCAAAGTCATCAATACTAGGAAATTAGTTCATAGTTGACATTAATGGAGATCATGAAGAAATGCAAACCATGGAAGAACTGTAGAGCAAGTAAGCCTACCCTTGGCTTGCATGGGAGCCCCATTTGTCCCATTCATTAAAATCTCTAAGGCAAAAGACAATGAGAAGGAAATTCAAACGCATAAACTTATCTGTAGTTTCCATTAACTGAATAAAAGAAGATTGCAGAAAAATGAGAAGCATTAGAAGTTTTCTAATCTTTCTTCATGAGAACGCAAAGTTTAGCAGAGAGCTTCTGAAAGTGATAGTACAACTAGAGTCTTCACATTGTTTGCAGAACTCATTAGGTAAGACATCAAAAATCTCCTTTAGCCCATAATGCTACTTGTATCTTGTATAGATTTATGCACCAGGTTGGAGATATTTTAGTCCTATGATAATGTGGGTTAAAGCAGTCACTTGGTGAAAAAGAAAAAAAAAAAAAGAAAAAACACCAGATTAGGACCATATTCTGTCTACCCTTCTCAAGATCCCAGATGACTAGGACCGGTTGACATTAGGTAATGGCTTTTTTTACCTTGTTAGTGTAAGATCGGGTACTACCAAGGTTTAAAGTATCGTTACGATACGCATTTAGGCCGTATCATATTGGTACTTAGAAATAGCTGATACACACTTTTTTTTTCTCCAAAATTTGGTTTTTTGGGAAGCTTATAAGACGTCTTTTATTATTAAAAAAAATAGGGGTCCGAAACACCCGGAAGCATATCTTTTTCAAAAGATATGATATGATATGCCCGATACGGCGATACTTTGAACCATGGGTACTACAATATCACATGTGACAATTAGATATTATGTGATATATATTTAACTTTTATGATTTGCACAGAAATAGGGCAAGTATCTGTTTTAATGGATGCATGTTTCAACTTGAAAAATAAAAAATAAAATAAAAGTAATTAAAAGAAAAAAGTCAAAACCGTTGAATGAATCTACAGTTCAACTGCCTGGATTAATGGATCATTAACCAGTTAAAACAATTTTTGGTCAAAGACTAAGTTTAAGATAAAATGAAAGTGGCTGCCTGGATGATTCCAGGGCCGAACGGTCCAATCATCTAGATGGATTTTTAAGATTCGCACGAGAGAGTCGGGACAGATGGCATAATTAACTGGAATATAGCGTTGGATGTAGTTGATAATTAAGAAGCAGATGTAGAATGGTGTACATACCACATGAGTGTGTAGCAGATCCGGACGGATCTCCTTAAATTTGCGTGCATGGACAGTCCACTCTTTCTCTCTGCTTACTAACAGGTAACAGCGTAGCAATTTATGTCTTTTGCATCGAAGGGAATGGGACATATTTCATTCTATGGATCCTGCCCAAGCATTCCCAAGAAAGTCTATAGAAAATAGATCGAAACAACCAAATTACACTCTTTCTGTTAACTGTTATGCCTCTTTCTTTTAACACATAAAAGTAAAATGTGAAAGATCCCATACAATCCGATCGGATATGGCAGGTGGGTCCATAGACTGTCCTCCCTGTCTTGTTTGTCATTACTCTCCCGTCACTACTCCAATACTTGGATGTTGGAATAACAAACACAATCGGATATGCTAGGAGCTAGGAAGACCCGTCGTGATGGAAACTGCCGCGTTTAATGGATCCTGTCCATTAAACCATACACATTAAATCATGGTTTTTAAAACCAAACCGGTCAGGGTTCGGTTGCCAGTTCAAATGGTCTGACCGTTTAATTCGAACGGTCAGCCTGTTTTAACAAAAAAAATTGAAAAAACGGTCAAAACTGTTTAAACGATTAATTGACTACTTCAGCGGTTTGTTCATCAAAATCAATGGTTTTAAAGAAAGAACACGATTTTAGAGAAAAACAAAACCGATCAAGTTTTCTGATTTTTCCAGTCTAATCGTCCGGTTTTGAAAACCATGCATTAAATGAAAGGAAAATCGGAAAATTTTGTTTTAATAAATTATACATATGTGATTCAACTTCTATGACGTTGGTTTTATATAGTATAAGATAAATAGGGGGTGCAAGTCGGTGGGCCGGGTTTTAGCTCAACCCAGGCCCAATCCTAAGATTGAGAGTTGAGACTATGAGTTTGGCCAAATCCAAACTATCCAACGCAAGTACAACCCAAATTCAAATATGTGTCTATATATACATATACATATGCATACAATTGGGCTGGGCTTGGATTAGAATAAGGCCAGGCCGGGTTTGAATTATCTAAGGACAATAACTGAGCCCAGCCCAAAATATTAAAAACCTGAACTTTTGAACCCAAACCCGATCCAGTGACTAAAAATCCAAGCTTAATCCGCATAGAATTGCAGGCTAAGTCTGTCCTGACTTGGGTTGGGCCCATCCAAGTTGCACCCTCATAGATAATAGAACGAATGGTGGTAGGAATAATTCAGCAACCTCTAGGCTGTGTTTGTTTGTGGTGTAAATGCATATCAATGTAAAAATTCACCACTGGTTCACATTTGTTTTCGGTGTAGAATGAGTCGTGGTAGGAATAATTTAACAACCTCTAGGCTGTGTTTGTTTGCGGTGTAAATATAAATCAATGTAAAAATTCACCGCTGATTCACATTTATTTTCAATGTAAATATGGACTGGTGTAAAATTCTAATCCTGGTCCATATTTTCTTGCATTTGTTTTCAGTGTTTCGACGTAAATTTCCCCATCAGTTGAGTTTTACACCGATAATCAATATAAACAATACATCGATAAATATGTATTATTTACATTGATTATCACACTTTAAAAAAAATCCAATGATGGGGGTCATTGAATTGTAAAGTTTGGTGTGTTGTGTAACTTGTGTGCAAGTCCATCACAACATAATGGCTTAAGCTAATAAACTTTAAGGTGGTGTCCAACTATTGCCAAGTCCATGTGTCCAAGTTCTCCGTTTTGACATGTCTCAATTCCCAACTAAATAGAGACTGATACAAAGCTGATGAGCTTATTCATTTCTCTTTTTGTCTTTCGATGAGCATTAATATCAAACAGGTTTGTTTTGAAGATCAAAAGATCAAACAGAAAACAACTTGCAAATAAGGTGAAAGAATAGCAAGTGGAAAAGAAGTTTCTTTCATTCAAGTGTTCAACCCAGAATGATTAATGGTGCTAAACCTCTGAAAACCCACCAGAATGATAATGTTGAAGAAGCCTATTGGCTTCCCTTACGCCACTCAAATAAGCTCCATGAGTAGTGGAATAATGGGTTTTATGTGTTGCTTCACCCGCAAATAGAATTTGAAGTGGAGGAGAAGCAACGTATACGCAACCGCCGCTGCTTTTCGGCAATGGCTCTGCCATGGAATCGAAATCATTGCCGCTCGAGCCGACTGCTACATAACTATAAGAACCCATGAACAAAGGGTCGGTTCCCCATCGGCTCCTGAGAACATTTCTGAGTTTTGATTTTTTCCCAAGAGCTCGGGAGCTCTCGACAGGATTCACATTCCCATTGCTGCATCCCTGATGGTTTACTAGCCCTCCGGACTGAGAATCGGATAAGAAGCTAGAGATTGTCCTCGTAACCCCGTTGATAATCTCATCATCTCTGAGAGACTCAAGCTCCAGAGCTTCTTCCCCTGCAAACCATGAAAGTAGGACACTGGAGTTTCTGTAAATTGGATAGAGAGAAGCTGTCCTCCTCATCCACCATGGGATCTTCCGGTTCCTTAACTCGGAATCAGACCGGTGGAAGACCATTTGCAAGAAGGGAAGTTTTTCACAAGTCTCACTTTCTTGATCATGGATTGGATCCAATTCAAGAAACAACTTGTTGACTACACCGAATCCGAGCCTAGAAATTGCTTCAGTCTTGAAAGAGGGAAGCGGAGGATCAAACAAACCTGAGCCTTCCTGGATTCCGGTTTTCAGCACCCCCAAGGACACTGTAACTATGACATGATCAGCAAACATGGTCAAACCATCTTCGAAGTGGAGCTTCACGGGCCTACTACTGTCACAACCATTCTCCACTTCTGAAGATCGAAGCCCTTGTGGCTTCCATTCGATCTTCCTTACTTTCCTACCCAGTTGGATGGCACCAGCTGGTAGGACGGAAGCTAACGATTCGATAATGCTCAGGTACCCTTTAGGAATGGTTACCTCTTCACCCGGGAATTGACGGTACTCACTCTCTGCATTGAAGTCGAGTTTCAACAGATCACCGGCCGAAGTGTAAGTCCTTTCGGTGTTCTCGTTCATCGCACAGATGGCTTCCTGAAGCAACTTTGTGCTCCAGTTACCGGACGAATTGTCGTCTTCTCGTTCATCTGCCTGAGCCCAATAAACATCAAGTGCCTGGCGTAGAAAAAAACCCACTCCGAGATCTCCGAAATAGCCACGGCGCTTACAATTTTCGAGGGCTTTAGTTGCGATTCTGTAATAATCAACTTCATCATAGCTCTTACTAGCTTCAGTCAACTTTCCTTGAGCGAAATCCATCATCTTCCTGTAAAGCTTCGAAATGGGCTCGACAACAGGTGAGTCGATCCTCAACCCGCCTTCGGCGATGGTTACTGGGTCTTCATCAGGGAATCCATCCATGCATTCCCATGGCTGCTCGGAGTCCAAGGCATGGATTTCTTGGGCAATTTGGTGAATTGGACTCCCACCGATCCCATGAATCCATGTTGCACCCATTTCAATACGGTCACCACCAAAATCTGAGGTGCCAATTCTTCCGCCTATTCTAGTCCCACCTTCGACCACGCAAAGCTCGAAGAGCTCTTCCAATCTTGTGGCCTTGTAGAGCTTGTTAGCCGCTGTAAGCCCGGCCATTCCAGCTCCAATGATCACAATTCTTGGTTTCCTTGCGACCATTGCTGCTGGTTTCTCGAGCAGAAGGGAGAGATAAGGCAGATATGTGTCAGGTTTGCTGCTGGTGTTCGATTCATGTTTATAAGAAAATGAATGGCATATATGATTCCACAACTATATTATATCTTTCTATTTTAATGACAATTTTTGCTCATGATTTATTTTTGAACCATGTACAATATGTGAGCCTTAATTGTATGATTCATCTATACATGTATTTTCATTACCTATTTTGGACACATCATTTGACAAACACATTATAATTGGATCCGCTTGACCCATGAGATAGGAGAGTGGTGATGGATATATTATTGGCTGTGGGGTCAATAATAATTTGCCCCACACCACCAATAATGAGAAGTAAGAGATTGAATGGCTGTGGGCAATTTATATTTTTTTGGCGTGGGGTGTTATTATTGGTCCCACAGCCCATAACTCAACTGTCTAAGTTCAGCTAATCTTCCTCCGTGAGACACACCATATAACTGCCATGTCATGCTTACATCGGTGTGAATCATGTTTTGAAACCATGGATACATGAGGAGCCCATTGGATTTAACTTTACACTCTTTCAGGATTGGGCTTCAGACAAAACCCATTCAAATTTTAACAAAAGCTCAACCCGAATCCAAAGGCTTTACATCATTTATATAAGAATAGACAACCGTAGTATTGGGTTGTCCTTCAAAAACACGAATGACATGGAGTAGAATGATCACGCATGAAAGAAACAAATAAAAACTAACCTATCAACACTAACAGAAAGAAAAAAATTAACCTATCAACACTAATAAAAGCTAACCTTCAAAAACACTAATAAAATGCACAAGGTTTGCAAGACGATCAGCAACAAAGTTTGCTTCTTTGAAGATATGATCATATGACACTGTCAGCATATCAGCATCCCTCTTATGAAGCTCTCATAGCATCCCTGAATAAAAGTTTTGAATTTTTGTTGTTTCTTGGGGTCTTATCTTCCTCGGAGGCCATTGATGACAACACTTGAGTCTCCCTCGATAATAGCTTTTGACTCTAGGGAGCAAAGACACATCTCGAGGGTTGCCCCATTTAATATCATGGGCCCAAAGCCAGGCCCCGCTCGACCCATTTCGATTCATGATCATCCTGATTGCTGATTCTGTCCGTAAATCAAATGAAACACAAACCAAATACGATCCCTAATTTTCTTATTCTTTTTTTAGGAAAAATCTATGATACGGTAAATTTTGATCAATCAAAACTCACCCATGAATTTTGATAAATAACACCTAATTGACTATTACATTTATAATTCTAGTTGATTGGTAAGAGCTTTTAAGATATCATATATTTTCGATATATGGTCAAACCTTTTCTTGAATTGTAAGGTGTTCTAAACTTATAATCGTATCAAGTTTTACTATGAAATTGAATTGAATTTCTAGCTACAAAAAGTATCACTGCAGTTCTATTTGTAATACAACCATGATAGAGACACCACCTCACAGCACTTTCAATTATGCATTGAGAATATCTCCCATATTGGATTTTAACATTCATGAAAAATGCTTCTAATTAGGGATGCCAATTGGATTAGGTTTGGTCTAATCCGATCTAGTCCAATGTAAGTCCATTACAAATGGATCAGGTCCAATACAATCCAATAAATATTTTGGACCATTTTGGATCAGTCCACTTCAATATTTGGACCGTCCAATTTATTCAAGTTCGTTCTAATCTAGATTGATTTCGACCCAAACCCAATCCATTGACACCTATATTCTTATCTTATATCAATGGACCAGACCAGGTCCAATCCAATCTAATAAATATTTTGGACTGGATTGGTCCAATCCAATATCAATTTCTTACAAACGGACAAGGTCCAATTCAATCTAATAAATATTTTGGACTGGATTGGTCCAATCCAATATCAATTTCTTACAAACGGACAAGGTCCAATTCAATCTAATAAATATTTTGGACTAGATTGGTCCAATCCGATATGTCTTGTTTGTCCGCCTAATCAGTCCAATTTGATTTTGGACTAGACCGTCTAATCAGTCCAAATTGATTTTACCGGTCCATTCATCCTTATTTTCAATTAGGGCTGTCAATGGTATCCAAAAAATTGAGACCCAACCCGTTTATCTCGGATTTAGAATATATATATATATAATCAATCTGATTAAAATCTGAATCCGATTATAATATAAAAATAAATTCTATATATTATATTATATGTGAATTTATGTATATAATAAATTTAGTGTATTATATTTATATTAATTTATTATATATAAAAGTAAATAAATAAATAAATTTTCAATATTTCTGATATTTTAAAAAATTTATAGCATGGATTAAATCCAAATCCATTAGGATTCAAATCCACATCCATTCCGATTACAGATTTACAGCCACTGCAAGGTTGGTGAGAGGCAGAGGCACGCTCTATGAAGAGCAAATTAAATCTGAATTCACGTAAATTCTGTATAATGCACGTGGATCCCACGCATCATGCTGACGTGAGAAATACTGAATGGCGCAGAACAGTCCCTGTATCCTATAGTGTTGGATTCGGAAATAGTCTGTCATCCGACTCATCTCTGTCAAAAGTATAACTTATGAGTGCGGATCTCCTACCAACAAATGACGTTCCAACACTCTTAACAACATGACCCCAGTCTCATGGTGTGATGATGTGCGGTACGAGATCATGGAGCACAGGAGATCCCAACTCATAACTTTATCTGCCAAGTGCCAAGCACAGCCCGGTTCCCCTACCGTGACACCTGGTCTGGTCTGGTTTGGTCTGTCCTGATCAACTGCGGGGACACTGCTGGAATGGCAGCTACGATTTAAATCAAAACCATTCTATAGCCAAGACTGGCTTGTATCAATAATCCCCACTTCTCCTCCAGTGCGGTTGATACTATACATGAAATGGAGCTTCATAAAGCTTTTGCCATCGTTTGATTGCATATCCATCTAGTATTCTAGTGTAGTGTAGGATAAAAGGTAATCAAAACCAACTTGTCTTGCAAATTGGACGAAATGGGTTGGGTTAAAGGGTAAAGTTTGGGGCAACCTTTTGTTGGATTCAGGTTGAGACAAACCTACACCGAATCCGAGATGTCTACATCTATTTCTTTATGTTTTCTGACTATAAGGCACAGACAAGTTCACTTTTGCTACGGCAAGACTAAGAGGGGTTAAAACTCAAATTCATGGCCTTGATGTATTGCTGTGACCCTGCCAAGGCTCATACAGTTCAAATAAGGTGGGCCATACACCATAGTCATACATCACAGGTTTTGATTTGGTTGTTTTAGCCTTGCACTGCCACATTGTTATAGCAAAAATGGTTTGTACATGGAGATATTTTGGTAAGGTTTTTTCACTTTTTTTTTTTTTTTTTTGTTTTACCTGGTTAAAAGGTTATGATCGTACCCAGTATGCCCCTCCCATGACCTTAAATAGCTAGGGCCAATATTGGGTAATGTTATTTTAAATGTCGATCGAACCCTATAGTTTTGCTTTTATTTTCATCTTGTTTTAGATGTTATGATGTTGGTTTATTTGTTTAGAGACATGGGGATATTTATTGTTGCTGTTGTTGTTTTTTTCTTATTTTGTCTCCTTTGAGAAAGAGTGCAAATACAAATAATATTCAGTGTAAATATAAATGTTATCCTTTTTCATGAATTGCATATTTGTATTTATACTCTTTTCAAACAGACCTTTAATTGGTTATTCAACTACAAATCATGTATCACAGCCAGAAAAAAACGAAACTATTGGATAGTTCAATTATTTAAACATTGATTTCATTGATACAATAATATTGATTTTCAACTGCACTTCAATAAAAATCTTAATTTGCAACTATTAATAACGTTAAACTATCAATACGATATATCCGATACAGAAATATTCAAATTAAGGGGTTTTGGGTTGTTTAGGGGCTTATCTAGCCTAAAACCTGATTCCCTTTGCACATAAACTACCTGATTTGCATGTTCATACATAGTGAGAGAATCAATACTTTAAACCATGCTAAGGAGTGAATGTATAAAACTTTTATTTATTTATTTATTTATTTTTGTTGGCAATAAGGTAGTTCTACTTCTTTCTTCCCACTTAACATAGTTCTTCCAAAATAAATACCTAGTTAATCGAGAGGATTGAACCTCACCCGTCACTAGGAATGGGAATAGGTGGGTTCGGGGAAGGGATCATATCTTCCGTTACTAATTCCGATTCTGAAATTAATACCTCATCCCCGTCTTCAATTCCTATTGGGGAAAAAATTTGTCCTCTAAAAATTTCTTCCCACTTAATATAGTTATTAAATTATAAATAATATTTTAAATATGTTTTGGTATATATAATATAAATAATATAATAATATTTATGAAATATAAATAGCAATATATATAATGAAGGGTTTTTTGGCAGCACCCTGTTGTTTTGACTACTTCCTGGTGTCTGATGACTTAGGGGTCGAGATGGAGTATTTCTGCTAGATAAAGGCTTGAATGTTGAGTTGACAAGATTGATTTAGGAGGTTGCTCGGGTGCCAAGCTAGGTAGCTCTTCGAAGAGACCTTTAAGGAAATAGTGTCAGAGGACCCAGGGTGGTTAACTCGGCGAGGTCGCTCCGATGCTTAAGTTAGTACTCTTGTAGTAGATTGCGAGCTAAAATCAGAAAGTATGAGAGGTAAAATGTACTTAATCCTGTATCCTCCTCGTGTCATTGGGGTTGGTGCCGTTATATAGGCATTGTTTGGTGTGGTCTTCACGCACCGCATCCGAGATTTCCAGGAGGTCGCCTAACTGGTCTGAGATCCCTGGAGGTAACCACTATGAACGTTGACCACCCTCCGGAATGTTTGGTACATGGTCCAACTTCCGAGAAACGTGGGAGTGTCAGGATATGCATGCCGAATTTGTTGGCGAGAACATCTCGCATGTCGCCACTTGGACCTCAGTCAGGCTGGCACACCCTCGAGGGAGGTCGCTCCTTGCATCGAGGTCACTTCGGCCAGTGACGAGGTGCTAAAGGTCGGCCCTAGACGAGGTGCTCTTAGCCGACCTAAGTTCTAGTCGAA